GACCACGGCCCCGATCCCGATCCCGATCCCGATCCCGATCCCGATCCCGATCCCGATCCCGATCCCGATCCAGATTGAGATCCAGATCCCGGTCCCGGTCCCGATCCCGATCCCGATCCCGATCCCGATCCCGATCTCGATCTCGATCTCGATCCCGATCCCGATCCCGATCCCGATCCCGACCACGACCACGAATCCTACTCCGACATCAACACTCACCCCACAACAACCATCACAACGTCCTCCACAACCATCAACCCTCTTCCCCATCAACAATGCCCTGGCGCTGGCACGTCCACTTCCACCGCCACTGAACCTACTTCATCCGCTCCTCCTCCTCCCTCCTCGGCTGACAGAGTATAAACGGCTGCAGCGCAGATTCCTTGTCAGCTCGCCACTTGGGCGAACAATGGCTTTCGGGCGAGGCGCAGGGCGCACAATTTGCCACTCGGCTGAGGAGGCGAAGGAGATATATAAAGATAAAGAGAATGGAAACTTGGGACAACAACCGGCAAAATTGGAGAAGCGTTTCCAGCACGCCGGAGCTTATTTTTTCCAAACGAGGCCTACGCGCATTCTTGCGAATCTTCTCTCGTATCACGATTTTAATTAACTGTTGTCTCAGTTACGCAGCGATTAATTATTTAAGCAGACTACTCGCGAAATATATTGATTCGGAGTGGTTAGAAAATTCTGGATAACATGAGCAATTAAGAAAAGGATCACCGTAGTATTTTAAGCATTCCACATTTTAAGCATTAACAACTATTCACATTGCCTGTTAAATAGCTGCACTAAACTTAATTGATTTGTATTAAGATGAATTTTGAAAATAAAATTACAAATGAAATATTAACAAGAACATTTTTAATCACAAATGGCATTTTAAAATTTTTTTATTAGGGAAAATAATCAATAATTTACAAAATTTGGTTCAAAATACATGCGCAAGCTATTATCCATCTAAGGTCCACTTTAATTTTGGTCGCATAGCGCTCGCCACTTGTCGTGACGGCGTGCGGAGAGCCATTATTGGAGAAGCTATTCTGGTAATTTCTGTTTAATGTATCTATGTTTATTTGATCATAAGTAAAACGAATGATCCTCAGTATTTTATTGGTATTTTAGAAGTATTGAAATTATTTATTTAAAATTCACTCTTAAAGGCTAGGTCGGATGTGTGCGTTTTAATGAAACCTTTTTGTGGCTTGACATTGGCTTGAATTTATTATTCTACTTTTAAAACGGACAGGAAAACAATTTTAAAACGTCTTGGAGATTATCTCGACGAGATAAGTTTTCATGAGAAGTTTAAAGGGCAGTGTTGTCTGATGTGTACGTAAACGGCAGTGTTGTCTGCAAAGAAGGTAATTTCTAAATTGATATATTCGTTACAGGTATCCCTTAGTTTCATAACATGTATAATATGAGAAAAAGGAGTGCCTTGAGGTAGGTACTATTTTTGGAACATTCATTTCTAACTTGCTGTGTTGCTTAATTATATGCCTAGAGAGTTATAAAGCATCAATCGTAAGTATTATATCAATAGTCGTCTTATCAATAGTATGCTTTAATAGAATTGGTTTTAAATAATTGTCGCGTGTTATTTTTTGACTGTTTAATCTATTATCTGACTGTTTAATCTATTTTCTGGAATTAATTTGTTTTGTTTATTTACGTGGTTTTCTGTTGTCAATTGTTACTAAAATTGAGCCGACGTGTTTTTATAAAAATGTATGAAATAGCTTGCTATGTTACATGCAATATTGTCATTTTTCCTGGTTGTGTTTATATGTAACATTTCCACGAACTCAGTGGGAAAAGAGAGCATTATAATTTATAATTATATTTCTGTGCAGCCACCATGAATAATACAATCAGGAAATTGATCAATAATTAAATTACTAATAAACCATGAATTATAAACTAACTCATTAATGAATGTCAAACATCATTTCATAATGAAAAGGGCCAATTACTGATCGCATCAATTTATGATTTTTTACCCTACTTGTAGCTTGTATAAATTCAAGATATAGGGCAGATTACATTTTTTTTACTTTCAGGATTCAATATAGCTAAAATATTTTCGAAACTGCACCGTCATAAAACTACAAATTCCAAAGGTAATTAATTCATCAGACGTAACCTAATGAAAAGATATAATTATTGTGTGTATTACGTCAATTTATCTTCAGTATACATCTAGCTTTCCCACTCCTGAAATATAGGTTAAAATGTTAATGGAAATAATAAAAGTAATGTAATTTATTTTCTAACCCTTCCCAAACCATATCCAACATTTAAGTTTTACGGCCACATTAACTACTTCTGTCTTGTAACAAGATCAACTTTGTGAAAAGAAATTTCATTGTGCCACCATTACCAAGAAGACTCACCAGTGGCACCTATGTTGACGATACTTTTCTAATGATTGATTATTTAATTTTTCAGTTACTCAAACGTGACTATCATTCCCGTAAGTTTTGTGCATGTTCCATCCCATAACATTACTTATCAGAAACCTTCGGGCAGACCGATGCAAACTAGAGATTGTAATCGTCCAGAAATGTGTAGTGCCTGTGTTAGTGATCTGTTTCATTTGTGTCTTGTATGCTATCTTTCGTGAAGTGTGAAGATAATTTTGTGTGCGAGTGTGTCTGACAAGCAGGTAAAAACTCTGTTTTTGAAACGGCATTCAGAGCAGACATCTTCCTTTCCCGCAGCATCAGCCTTTTGCACAGAATCCTCGCGCGCAATCTACGAGCCGAGCCAACCTCTGGAGCCATGCTTGCTGGGGTATGGACCACTTTAGTTTTCAATGCGGCTGTTCCTACTTAATTGCCTGCAGGGCTGAGTAAAAATGACTATCGCTCCTTGCTGGCTCTTTGACCACCTTATCTGTTGATTTGCGACTTCTATTCATTGTCGTCGAGACTAGACGAGCAGCGAAGTTGGGAAATTCAAATAACACTCAGCACACTTTCTTGCGTGCTATTATAACAGACGCTCGTGACCTATAGAGTTGGTTGAACAGCCTAGCCTAGTAATTGGAGTTGCGCCCATTTGGGGTGTAGAGAGTAGCTGACCACTTTACTTGGCCGGTAAAAGCCTTCGTAAAGTAATATTAATCAAAGGAAATCTGTAGTCTTTTAAAAATAATGAATATTACATTAATGAATAATACATATAACACAGTAGCTGCCTCAATCACGCGGTTAGTTTGGATCCGGAAGTACTTAATCCAAGGTTCCAAAGCCACTACAATGAAAACTGAAAAGAAGAAAATTGTTCTTTATGATAGTAACGTATGTGGAGTTTGTTCAATAGATGGCACATATTAGGAAAGCGACATAATACTGTATATGTTTTGTATGATAGCCATCCTGTAAGTTGAATTCAAACATGTACGTTTTATACATTTAACGATTGCATGTGTTACTGAAAAGTGAACAAGTTTTATTATATATTGATATAAATATTTTCAACATATCTCATATTTGCCTCATCATTACCTCTTTTGTTGCAGGTAAGTGTGGCGAAATGCAGGTCCAGTTCGTAAGTACATAGAAATCTCAACTGCCTTCGTCCCCACTCACAAGGGTCATTGTGAATGGTGTACTCTTTGAAGTGCGTCTTGTTATGTGAAGGTTGAAAAAGGCAACTAGATTCGAGAGGAAAACGTCCTAAGATATAAATAGGTTCTTATTCTTTACTGTGCCCCATGTTGCCCCATGTGAAGCATTGACTTACTACCGTGGTACCATTGTAACGACCATGCCAATCAGGACTCTGTAATACTTTTAGAGCGTAGTTTGTACTTTACCAAGTTTGTCCAAGCTTGAAACTAGACTCTCATCTTCGGCCTCCACCATCAAAGTAAAACAATCTTGAGTATGCAAAATATACTTAAGGCATTTTATTCCCAAAATCTTCATTGTTGAACACTTTGTTTCAAAAAAATGAAACACCCAAAAAATAATATATTTTTTTGGATATTTATGCTTTCCTTTGGTAATCAAACGTAACAAATTCATTATACTTCAATTAATTTTCGTCTTGAAAATCTTGAAGAAACATTAAATTGGTCATTTCACAGAAACAACCTTTGCACAAAATTAAATATTTTCGTCGTTGTCACTTTCTGTCACCGATCATGTGGCGTTGGGAGTGGATTCGTGAACGGCAGAAGGTAGCAGGATAAAAAGCAAAAAATACTTAGATGACGAAATACATAGAAATCTAAGAAATGTTTACATAAAATTCATTTTTTATAGTAATCTTAAGGCTCAATCATATTATTTTGCCGATGGTTTTAGCGTGATTGACAACAGCTTTCCATTCTTTTCTGTGGTTCTCTTTACCTATCCAGTTTTCTTTTATCTTAACTGTCTTAAGACCATCGACTATATTGGTCTTCCATCTAGTACATGACCTCTCATTTGCCTCGGCTTCTGTAAGGTTCCATCTAATACCAATCTATCATCTCTCATTCTATAGACATGAGCTTACCTGAGAGCTCCAAAATGGTTAAAAGTATTTTTGTATTTATTTAAATCGTACAACTCTACATTATATTTTATTCTTCAAATTCTATTTGGTAGTTACACAGAACCACATTATTGTCGAATTTTTTCTTCAAAAACATTATTTTTTAATACAAGTCTAACAATAAACACCCAAGCTGGAATTCGCAATGTACTCGTGCTTCGCGGCCAAGCTCGAGAAGTGCAGCTGTCCACAGCATGCGACGAAAGCCAAGCAAAAACGCCCGCTCTTGGGGTGCATCGCCGGCTGCCGCACTGACGTGGGCCGACCCGCTGTCGCAGGTTGACTCTCGGCGCCGCCGCCTCCAGATTCCTCCTCCGCGGACGAGATGCTCGCACTCGAGTGCTCGTGCGGCAGGCGGCCGCCGCCGCTCGCTGCGGGGCGCTGACTCCCCGCTTCTGAAGCAGACCGCCACGTGTTACTGACCTCGCGCTATTCCAGGGCTTGGGTGCTCTTACTCGTAAACCAGCTCCCTTATTGTTTTAACTATTAGGAAAATGTAAAAACAAAAGTCTTCTATTATATTAATTTTACGAGATTAAACAAAATGATGTCATATACACTACCTATGTGGTGATTTGTCATAAATGACTATGTACATTATTCGGGTGAATAGAAGTTCCCGTCTTCAGTTTGTAGTTTTAATTCCTTAATTTGCAACAAAAAATAATCAGTGCCTTAACCTCTGTTTGTACTGTCATCTAAACATATAGCAAATTCTTATTTTCATAAGTGATTAACGTTGAAAGTGAGTGATATGTGAGATTATCAGTGAATTGATGTAAGTTAGACGAATTCTAAATATTTTTGTATATCAATCAGAGTTAGGATGAATCATAATTTTTTTCGAAACCACATTGACATGTTACAATTCGAATAAAATGCTAAATCGTTCTTCATATCTTGTTCAATTTTCATATCCTGGATTGGAAAGGGAAAATAAGACTAGTGATTCTACAATAGTACATGTACATTCTCACATTTTATCTCACTTCTACAATTTTCTGAAATTCAGAACGTTCAATAAAAATTAAATCTGTTGTATTTTAAGCGTCCTTCACTCTATCTGAAGAAATGAAAAAGATCGTTTGAGTACGTTTTGAGATTTTTAGAAATTACTATAATAGCAAAGAGAAATTGCAAAAAAATTATTTTTCTCAGAAAAAAATTATCTGTTCAAATCTAAAGATGTGATTTTTAGAACAGATTTTCTTTGAGTAAAATCTCTATTATCATTATTCTACTTCCGAAATACTCTTTTTCTTTAAATAGAAAGGGTTTGCAAACAAAAATGTGACTATTGCCCACTTTTTCACCTGAATATTAAATATTTAGATTATTATGTACAAAGCTATTAAAATAATTTCATTCCAAACTTTTAGTATTTGTGAAATATTGTATCTAAAAACACTCATACCGGTTTTTTAACCATGTTTTTTTGCTTTATTCAAAAAACGAAAATAAATCAATTTCTAAATCTTGGTCTTCTTTTGCATTAAAAATAAAAATAGTTAATTGGAGAAATTACTATTTTTTTCTTAGAATATTCTACTCTACACGTTATGTCATACACCTTTGTAAGACTACCTAAAACTGTCAATTCAAAAACTTTTTCCATAAAAAAGGAAATCTTAAAAAGAACTTTGTCATCATGCCTTTCCATATATTTGAAGGTAACATCTGCGTCCTCCGCTCGTCTATGGAATATGGTTGGGTTACAAAATCCAAAGACGACCTACTTTTTTAACGTGCTGCATCGGAAAGCAACCTCGGAGCAGATGCAGAGGAACGACTTGCAGCATCTGACTCATTTGCACTTAGTTCGTGAAATATACAGAGGCAACGACATGCCGACTTGCCGTTCGCAAAATGAAGAAATATATTTTCAGGAGCGGCGCGTCATATTTTCCCTCGGCTCTAAATTGTAGCCTCAATTTGATGGAGGAGGTGAATAAAACTAAGTCAATAAGAATATTTTGAAAATAAATAACTTTTTCAATATTTGTATTATATTATTATCATCATCGTTTCGTTTCGTTTCATTTATCTCATTTCGTTTCGTTTATCTCATTGAATGTTCGGTGATTACACGTACTTCTAAGCTGCTAAAATGTACAGAGGACTAACAGCCGATGCTGGCTCTTCAGTACTCCATGTTTTGTAGCTGATGTATGTGTGTTCTCGCGGAAGGCCTTGTGAGTCTGCTGACCACTGATCGAGGAGCCCGCAAGTGTGTCAGTGTCTAGTGTAAAGGGTAATACTATGTGTTTCCATGAGCGGCATTGTGGAGACCTGGCGCAACGCATCATGGAATGCCGATTTCGACTATCCGCTGCGAGTGACCAGTATGTCTCGATGGGAATATCTATGTTTCTGAAATGAAAATTTTTGTTTAAAAATATTTTTTCAAACCAATTTTTGAGTGATTATTGATCTCAGACAATCGAAATCTCGGAAGAGCTCATGAAACAAAATGTGCTTAAAATTGACCTAAGAGCTTATTTTCAAACTTTCGTTGTTTACTTCTGTGATACACTATGTATACATATAATTATTACGCAAGTGCGTGATTCAAATGTTTCAAAACGACTCCAAAATTTTACATTAATGGACATTTGCACAATTTACATAATTTAAAATACTTATAGTTAAAAATGTTTGGTGAGCGGAAACTGCTGCCCTTTCCCCACCTCTCTCCTAACATGTGTCTGAATATTGTTGAACTCTGAATTTGATAATCGAATTACGTCTTCCATTGAAAGTGATTCGTGGCAAAACCCCTCGCCTAATGAATTAATGCAACAGTGGCAGCAGGGAAACCCCAATGCGCAGAAGTCATATTTTGCAAACATCGCGTTAAATCTCACGGGCTGAATCAATTTTGGATGTGTTCTTGTTATCGCATCGCGGAACACGCATTCGATGTGATTCAACGCGAGTCGTCAATGCATGTTCTCTGCACACAAAACAAGCATTTTCTCGGGCATTAGGGAATAACGATGAAATTTGTACTGCTAATCGAGAAATTTGTTCACCGAAGTGAAAGCGCTTTAAAAAGTTGTTCACGTTGTTTTTCTCGAGAAGTGAAATAACAAAGAATATGTACCATATACCCTTAAATTTGGATACTACAATAGTTACCAAATAAATTAATTGAATAATATACTCCAAAATATCATTTTGAAACATTTAGTATGTGTAAAATATTATTGGAAAGTTAATTCTCAGTTTTTGAAGTTCATGTAAATTTAAATAAGTCAATATGTAATTTCTAAAATGCATACTTTTTTGGATTGTTTTGAACAGCATCACTTCTGGAGTAGATATGAAAGAAGCTAAAGTTTATTAGTATTTGTTCTGCTAAAGACCTATCAATTATTTCAATGTAAGCATTAAGATTGAAATCAATTATATTTATTACTACGCCATGTTAAAAATTTAAAGTTTACTTTACTATGCTAAAAACATAACAAATATATAATTTAAAATTGTAAAAACGTTTCTTGAATATGTTACTTTACTCCAAAATTTCCATTAATTCCGATACAAGAAAGAAGTTTAAGAAAATTGTCTTGAACAGATAACAAGTACAATGATGTGAAGATCATTTGTAATGAACCGTAATATTTATGTGTTAGTTGACCCATTTAATCGTGATAGTCGAGAATGCACATTTCGGGTGCGAACTTTGATGCTTAGCACAACCATTATTGCAATTTCTCCGTGACTCGATATGAATTTCCAGCATTAGCACATACTTATTGTGAGATACATATTATACTTATCAATTACTGCCGGTTCATATACAGTAATAAAACCTCAATAGACCCCTACATCATCATTAGCTCCCTTCGAACTTTCATCAACGAAAATCATTCCTACCCAGCATTCCTTTTTCAGTGCTGGACGTTTGAGACATCACTTAAAACCGTTTTCTTGCTCTTGCGATCTATAATAAAGAACATTCCAAGACCGTTTACTCGCGCATTGCCTAAGAAGAGATAGAAATCTTAAGCGAATCACGTATGCTATAGGCCGCTTCTGCGGAACACAAATCCAGGATAAGTTACGCCTCCCCAGCAAGGAGGGGTGGAGGGTGTAATTACGGATTAAAGGCGCGCGGGCGACGCCAGCGCCAAAGTTCCCCGCAAGAGGGTGCGCGTGGCGGCATCGAAGAAGTTTCCGAAATTAAATCCTGATAAATACCTAGAGGGCGCTCGCGAGCGCTCGGCTAACGAAGTAAAGCAAAACAATATAAGTTTTTTGCGCAATAAAACGTCGCCGCCGGACAGAGACGGAGGGGCCGTCGCGGCCAGCTGCGCATCTGCCCCGCCCACCTCGCCCCTTCCCCGCCCTCGCGCCCGCACCGCAGCTTCCTTGCTTCGCCTCGGCGCCTGCTCGCCCAGAGGCCTTCCCGCTTCCAGCTCTCTGCGCCTCTTGGCCCGTCCCGCTTACTCTCCCCCGTACTCTCCCCTGCTTCGCCCTCCCCCTCCTCTTGCATTATCACCCCTTCCCCTTCCACCTCTAACCGCCTCGACCCTTCCCCTTCCTGTCCCTGCACGGGCGCCGTGCCGAGTGCTGCCCTCCCACGCAGCCCCTTGCTTAGGTTGCTCGCCTTGCCGCGGCGCCTCCTCACCCAGGAGCCTTCCCGCTTCCAGCTCTCTCGCCCCAGCTCCGCCTCCGCCCCGCCTCGTCCTTCCCCAGCCCTCTTTCAACACGCCTCGCCTCGAACATTTCTTCTCCCTGCTTTTTCACCTCCTCTTCGTTCTCGCCCTTCCCTTCTATTTTTCTCCTCCCTCCTTTCCTACTTCCTCCCATTCCATTTCATAAGTCCCCTCCGTATCCCTTCTATGATCCCTTTATTCCACTTCTCTCTCCCTCTTCTCACTGCTTCGGCCTTTCCTCGTGCCTTGTCTCTCCCCACCACACAGCCTCCTCGCTTCGTCCCTTCACCCTGCACTGGCACTCAGGAGCCTTCCCGCTACCAGCTCTCTCCTCCCAGCCCCATCTCCTCTTAGCTTGCTTCTCCTTGTCATTATCATGACTTACCTGGCTTCTCCTCCGGCGTTCATACCCCCTCCTCCCTCACTTTGCCTGTTTTCTACCCATCTCCTCCTCGCTCGCTACAATTCTTATCCATTTGGCTCCTCCTTCCTTCCGTACGCTCATTCTTTCCTTATGTTCTACAATTCTCCTCCCTAGCCTTTCCGTACTCCATTTATTCCCCACTCTTTCCCTTCTCTTGCGTGTCCACTTTCCTTCTCCCACTCATTTCCTTCCTCTTTCCGCCCCTTCATCACGTTTCCTTTCATCCTTAATTTCTCTTCTCCGTCCTGCTCTCCCGCTTTTCCTTTCAGCATCTTTTCCTTTCCCACTTCCATTTTCCTTCTGCTTTCTCTTCCCTTCACCTCCTCCGCTGTGCAAAGGCGCTCGCTCAGCCCCTTGGCTGACTCGCTGCCCG